AAAAATGGTGACAAATGTAAACCATCCAATTATAGACCAGTATCACTTACCAACAATTTTACAAAAATTTTAGAAAAAATAATAAAAATCAGACTTGAATCATTTTTGAACAAAAATAACATAATTTCAAAAATCTGATGTGTCCAACACATGACTTTCCTATCTAGTTATTATAGGCTTTTTCCGGTTATTTTGTACAACCTATTGCAGCATCTCTATAAATGTTTAGAGGATAAACTAAATATATACATTGTCCACATACATCTACCTCGAAACATTTTTCTATAGATATTCATGGAAAACGAAAATACTGAAAAATTTAAATTTCCTACAAATTTTTCATTACGGTCCATTTTATAAAAATCATGTAAAAACAAAAATTATAGAGATCGATATCGCAAACAACTTTTATTTCAAAAACTTTCATAAAAATCAGAATTTTGCACATTTTGTCAAATTTCTCGAATACGGACCATTTCAGGAAATTTTTACATACAACAAAAATTATAGATAATAATATTAGAAGTAACTTTTATTTGAACAATTTTTTTCTCCAAACATTAATAACAGATATATTCCATAAAATATAAAAGTGGCCTCCCATAAAGTACCCCCCCAGATGTTCCGACTATGTCCAAAATCTAATCATTTCACGTGAGGCCGAAATAAACCTTAAGTTTAAAATTTAATGTTTTTTTCTTTATCCGTTTTTGAGTTTTCTTCAAAATTCGAAATTTACACATTTTCTCAAATATCTCGAATACGGTCCATTTTAGAGAAATTATGTATAAAATAAAAATTAAAGAGAATTATATTACAAACAACTTTTATTTGAACAATTTTTATAAAAAATGATTTTTTTTACATTTTGTCAAATTTCTCGAATACGGACCATTTTAGGAAAATTTTGCATAAGACAAAAATTATAGATAATTATATTAGAAGTAACTTTTATTTGAATAATTTTCTTCTCCAAACGTAAATAACAGATATATTCCATAAAATATAAAAATGACCACCTATAAAGTACCCCCCCAGATGTTCCGACTCTGTCCAAAATCTAATCAGCTCATTGGACGCTGAAACAAAGCTTAAGTTTAAAATTTGGTGTTTTTCTGTGTATCGGTTCATGAGTTATGCGTTATACAGACACACACACACACACACACACACACACACACACACACAGACACACACACACACACACAGACATCATCGCGAAAATAGTCAAAACGGATTCAGGGGACCTCAAAACGTAAAAATCCGTCGAAAACTCGAGGTCGAAAAAAATCATGATTCCTATACTTTCCTTATATCTGTATACAGATAGGAAAGTAAAAAAGCAATTCGGCTTCCAAAGTAACAAATCAACTGAGGATTCTATAGCGGAGCTTACAAAACAAATGTACACATCAATGGACCAGAGTAGACCATCAATCGCTGTGTTCCTGGATCTTGCCAAGGCATTTGACACTGTTGACCATCAACAGTTGTTGGAAGCCTTGGCAGATGCAGGAGTAAGGGGTAGTGCTTTTGAGCTTTTTAAAAGTTATCTGTTGAATAGAAAGCAATGCGTACAAATAGAAGAACACATGAGTAGTGTAAAGAATTTAAAATGCGGGACAGTACTTGGCCCAATTCTGTTTAATATATATATTAATGATTTATTATCATTAAATAATAAGGGCCAGGTACTTAGCTTTGCCGATGATACCGTTGTTTTCTATTCGGCAGATACGTGGAAGGACTTAAAGGTATTAGTTGAGGATGACTTAAAACTCCTTTTTAATTGGTTTGATCATAGGCTTCTTACTGTTAATTATAATAAAACACACTTTTTATCTCTAACAAGTTACGAAAACAATCTTCCTAACTATAATACTCTAAACATAATATATAATAGCAAAAATATTGAAATTAAATCAGAAAAAAAAAGTTAAGTATTTGGGTATCACAATTGATTGTCACCAAAGGTGGAATCATCATATAAATAAGGTAGTTAATACATTAAGAATATTTCTATATAAATTGAAATATCTTACAAATATCCTGGATTTACCTTACCTAAAAATGTTATATTATGCTTTGGTGGAATCGAGAATAAACTATGGAATCATTGGCTGGGGTGGAGCAACTAATGTTTATCTAGAAAAAATTGAAACTATTCAAAAATTATTCTTAAAAATATTTATAAAAAAAATCATACTTACCCCTCGGACCAACTATACAAAGAATTATTAAAAATATTAGATCCTAAAAAACACTTTTTCCTTAAAAATGCCAACTACTACTATAAAAACCCAAAAAATTCTAAAATCAAAATCATTATCGCAATTTAAAACAAGAACAAAAAATTTTTATTAGAAGAATATAGAGCAAATATCAGAAATATTATTGATATGAATATCGATAGATAAATGAAAAATAAAAAAAGAATAAAAAAAAATTTATTAAAAAAAAAAGCGGCAAATTTCTCTATTATTATTATTATTTGTATTATATTAATTAATTGTAAAATAAAACATAAAATAGTACTTAACATATCTCTACACACGCCACGGACAGTTTTTATACTTTGTGGCAATGGGTAGTTTATTTGTATGTACCTAAAAAAAAAAAAAAATATTTATATTATTAAAAAAAAAATGTATTTAAAAAAAAAAAAAAATTTATTATATTTAATTTTTTGTACATTTTTCAAATAAACTTTTATTATTATTATTAATATTATGTGAACATTATATACAATTGATGTTTCATGTCTTTTTATGGCTAAGGACCGATGTTGCCAATCAGAAAAACCATGAGTATCAGAAAAACTATTGAAAGCCCTACTGAAAATTTTACAACAAAAAGAAAATATCGATTTTTTCGAAACTGAGTAAATGAGCCAAATTCTATTTGCTTTTTATCCATTTCCTAGTTTTCTGACAAAGTACTTACTTGAAAATTTTCTTTTGTCTTTGTCTTTATTAGCTGGAAATTGATAATTGTTTCCTATCAAAGGAGGACCACGGTCATTGGTAATGCTTCTGGGCCATAAACCAGGGTCCTCTGATATAAGAATACTAGTATTCTGTCACCGCTTCAGTAGAAACTTCATCGTCAGAAGTATCACCTGTAAGATATATTTTCGATAAGTGATGATGATGTTGATAGTTCACATGTTGCAGAAGATGGTGGTGCCGCCGCTTCAGAAACTGTATTTTCACCTTCTTCTATCATTTCAGTGTTGGAAACTTGACTTTTTCGCAAGAAATGTTTCATACTGCCAGCCATCTTCTCCCTTTCTTGGACTCAACTTTTTTGCTCTCGAAATTTTGCACCAGAAGGTCGTTTTCTCTTCTATGGCTCCTAGAAATTAAGGAATACTAGATTAAAAATTGATAAAGGCATTTAATATTGAGGGTAATTCAGGTTTTAGTGCACAAACTTTAACAGAAACAATAATAAACATATTTTTTAGACCTAATTTACCACACAGGAAAAAGATCACATTTCCCGATTTTCAGATTATTAATAGCCGAAGTAAGTCAAAGTCAAAGGTATATTCCCGTTTCGCCTGACATTTGGTACGCTTCGGTAGCGTTTTGCCTGACTACATGTTAAACAGAAAAAAATAGTTGCGATTCTCCTGACCTGCTCAGGTAATAAATATGTATGTGCCGTTAAGAAATCTATTACTAACAAATGCATAATAATAATAATAATAATAATAATAATAATAATAATAATAATAATAATAATAATAATAATAAATGAACATAAAATTAAATAAAAATGTTATAGTTATTTAATTTGATATAAACAAAAAATATAGAGCACCCAGTCTAGTAAAAAGTTAGTAAAATAAAAACTAAACATTTTTCAAATTGACGAAGCGTAAAGCGAATAAACTATTTGAATTTAGAAATTTTTTTGTCCCAATAACAAAAAAAATATATTTAAAAACTAAAATCCCTCCAGTAATAATTTCAACTATACATTACTTTAGAAAAGAACTTAGTATATCTATGAAAAAAGATTTAAAGGAAAAATTATCAAGATGGTTTAGAAAATTTAAAAATAATTGATTTAAAAACACTGGTACAAAACGCTTAATAATGTCAATAAATGCAGTTTTTTTTTGTTTCAAATTAAATCATCCTTATAAATCAAATTTTGCATGTATTTTGAAAATGGCCCTCATGAAAAAAAAAAGCACGCACCATCCAACTTATGGTCAGGGGAAACGATACCACAATGTGGGTAGGTACTTACCATTTCATAAAATTTAATTACAACACAACACAAAATATAAAGCACTCCGTCGAATATTTATAACTATAACTTTGCGTCTTGGTTTTTGACCTTCACGTAGCCGAAACAAATATTAACTATTTGGATTATGGCGCCTCCTGCATTTTTATTAATAATCGTGATCTCGTGGTTCGTAGATGAGTTTGGAGTCTGGACAGGAAAAATCGACAAAATCTAATTTGAAACTTACTCGTTGTTCGTACAGTATTCGAGTCTGGACAGGAAGAATCGACAAGTTCATATTTTATACGGGTATTCATGGTATTGCATGTTGCACGCAGAATTAACTAACCTATTGATTTTATTATATTTAATAATTAACGCTAATAGAATAGCTATTTGTTATCAAAAACAGATATATTTTTCAATCACAATAGGAATAGGTCATTATATCAACGAACATAAACTTTGATAACATTATTGATTATATTATCATAAATTGAGATAAAAACATTTTTGATTTTAGTGTCTTAGTGCCTTGTTCATTGGAATCGTTAGAAACATTAAAAATTCGAATTGTATACAGACCTCCGGTTTGGCGCCCCTTTAGAGGTGCGCCCGCGTGCGGTGCACGCGATGTACGCGCAGTTGCGGGGGCCATGAGGATGATCTCTTTTAGCAGCATTAATTTTATTAGTTTTTTAAAATAAGAAACAGCTGTTTGTTTATTATTTCTAAACACAACTACCTATTCTTTTCAGGTAGAGTATCTCTTGCTCTGGATACTTCAGCATTCATACCTGCTACTGAGAGTGCTGCTGACTTAGAAGCTGCTGATAGAATGCTACATTTTATGGTATGTTTTTATGATTATAAAATTGGTAGAATTTTTTAAATTTTTTATTAAATTTGTTTTCATCTTCTACGTGATTTAGCCAATTTTAGGTCTAAATTGTCTCTTTAATACTGCGAGTTTACACGAGGAGCCTCACAATGTTGTTTTAAGAGCATGAATGAAAGTTGTTATTGCACATCTTAACGATGGATTCAAATACCATTTTCATTAAAGTAAACAAAATAAAGAACACTTCACAAGTGCCAGGTTCTTTGCCCACGTTCCTTACTTTTATCTATAACTAATAAGTAAATATAAATAAATATATTACGTACCAGATTACAAGTTTTTTTTTTTTATCCATGGAGGGGATCGTACCTAGGCATATATGCCTGTCTTGTGTGATCCCTTCCATAAAAAAATACAATAATAAATTGTTTTAAAAGTACAAAAAAAAAATTAAAAAGGAAGAACGACTCAGTAATAGGAGTAATAGGAAACTAAAGCAAGACAGGTCCAAAAAGTGAGATAGGTTTAAAACTTTCTCCTGTAGTATAGTTAAACAGAAGTTAACGCTAAAAAATTGTAAAAAATACTTGAAAAGACACCAGAAATAATGTACGTTATTTGCAGTTTTATTTAAAATATTTCAAACATATCTGGGGAAGTTTGGATCAATTCCTTGATTTCAGTTTTAAATTTAGTTAATTTAGTTATTTGTTTCGTTGATAAAGGGAGAAGATTAAACAATTTGGGGCCAAAATAAAAGAAAGATCTTTGTGTTACCGTTTTTTGAAATAGGTCTACATTCAAATTTAAATTTGTAGTTGCTCTGGTTTTTGATGAAACCTTGTGTAGTTTATCCTGATCTCTGTATACCCTTTGAAGACACTGATATGTATATAATTGTCTTAAAGTAAAAATGTTTAATTCTTGATATAGTAGTTGAGTTGAATATAGTCTATCCTTTTTAAATAATATTTTAATTAATGTATTTAATGTAGTTTGCAGATTTTGTAACGTACTTTTAAAAGTACCACCCCATATCGTTATACAATACCTTAAAATTGATTCGGAAAACGAATTATAAATAAATTGTTTTTTGAAAGAATATCTCTAATGTTATAAAATTTGGTAAACAAGACTCTTAAGCGTTTTGTAACGTAAGTAACGTGTTCGTTCCATCTTATGTGCTGGTCAATCATTACACCTAAATATTTTATTGCTACTGTTTTTTCCAAGATGGGACAGTTACATCTAGTATGATTGCATTTAGAGTCATGTAGTTTAACGTCTATTTTAGGTTGATCAGCTGTAGTAGGAGAAAAAGTAATATATTTTGTTTTTTCAATGTTTAGAGTCAATAAACTATAATCTAGATAAATTTTTATTTTTTTTAAGCAAGCTTCTGTATTTAATTTTACTTCATCCCAAGATGTCCCAGTCACTACAAGGGCAGTGTCATCAGCATAACATATAAGTTTTCCTTTAAAATGATTTATATTGGAGATGCTATTTATGTAAATTAAAAATAGAATTGGACCCAATACTGTCCCCTACGGTATTCCTATTTGTACTATTGAAGCGGCACTTATTGTATCCCCTATTTTTACTTTTTGGGTTCTATCTGTTAAATAATTTCTAAGTAAATCAAGTCCTGTACCTCTAATGCCATAGTTACTCATTCTGATTAAGAGATCAGAGTGAGGAACCGTATCGAAGGCCTTTACCAGATCAAGGAAAACCGCTAGGCATTTACTTGATCTATCGGTTCAAGTAGATTTAATGTCGCATCTTCAGTACTGAATTTTTTTATGAATCCAAATTGTATTTTCGATAGAACTTTATTTTTGTCTAGGAATTTTATTAATCTGTTTTTGACAGCTTGTTCAAATATTTTTGCAAAATTATTTATAACAGATATTGGTCTATAGTTATTCATTTTGCTATGATCCCAGCTTTAAAAATAGGAGTAACTATAGTATGTTTCCATTGACAAGGTATTATTCCACTAGACAAAGAAAGGTTTGTAATATGCGATAAGGGAGTCACTACATCTTTATGAATATATTTAATGAGTTTAGTTTCTATTTTATCAGGTCCTGCAGAACAGTTATTTTTTAAGTTAGAAATTAATATTATTATTTCTGGAACCGTTACTGGTTCTAAAAAAAGAGAATTTTTTATGACATTATCAGCTAAGAAATTGTTTGGTAATTTAATTTTTTTGATTTTATTTGCCATATTTTTACCCAAGTTTATAAAGAAATTATTAAATAAGGTTGCCTTTCCTTTATTATTTTTAACTAAACTTCCATTTTCATTTATATTAGTATTTGAAATGTTTGAACTGTTTTTGTATCCATTTATATCATTGATTATTTTGCACGTTTTTTTACAGTCACCGTGAGCATCATTTAATTTAGTTTGATAGTAATCTTTTTAGTTTTTTTTATTAATGTATTTAATTTATTTCTATATTCTTTATATTTGGTTTCCCGTTCCATAGAAAAGTTTTTTAACAATCTCTTTTTTAATTGATCCCTCTTATAGATAGAAGTAATTAAGGCTGAAGTTATACATGGTTTAAGTTTCCTATTTTTTTTGTTTACAGTGAATGTTTCAGTGGTTTCGTCTATATAAAGATTCAGTTTACTGATAAATTTGTCATATGAAATTTGGGTATCTCTTGCCATAATTACATCTTCCCAATTTCCTTTTTCTACTAGCTTTTTGAGTTTAATGAAATTAATTTTTTGTATGTTTTTTTATTTTCAATAGCAGATATGTCGAGTTTTTTGTTTAAATATATATGGACAAAGGGTGTATAAGTTGGTAATAAAAATAATAAACACTGATTATTGTAGACATTACGTATTAGAAGAAAATCTATATAAATTAACATCTTTTTTAGCTGGGTATTTATGCTAATGCTATTTATGTTGGCGATTATCCGGAAGTAGTAAAAACGCGTGTAGCAGCTAGAAGTGCAGCAGAAGGAAGGAACCAGTCACGTCTTCCTGAACTGACCCAATCCGAAATTGATTATATACGAGGAACTCACGACTTTTTCGGCCTGAATGTATATTCTGCGACGGTAGCAGCGGCTATGGATGATCCACCAGTTTCAGACCCTCCCAACAAATGGGGAGAACAAGGTGTTAACACTTATCAACCTACAGATTGGGAGGAAACATCAATCGATGGAACGAAGGTAATATCTAAAAAAAAAACAGATAATTTCGTGAGAAATCATTTATCTAACCTTGAAATAAGTACCTATTAATCTGTTTTGTTTTACTCAAAAAAATTCATGATTGGAGTCGATTACCATAAAAGTTCTGTACTATGGAGTACTCTCCATTTCATCGTTTTTAATGTACTTACCTACAATAATATACAAAAACTGCGATATATTTTTTTAATCAATAGTGGAATTCGGTGCCTGTAAACGTAATGGACAAACGAATTTCGAAAAAAATTTTGAACTAGAAAATAGTATTAAATATGAAAAAACAAAAAAAAATTTTGAATTACGCATAAATAACAGAGAAATTTGAGTTAAAACTTGCGAATTTTGGTGATTCTGACCTAACATTTTTCTGCTTCCGGAATTGTCGGTTTAGTCGTTTTAACCTGTAAGATTAACACAAGAAAACCGACAATTCTGAAGCAGAAGCGGATGATTAAAACGCACCTATTAAAAATATTGCGCCAAGATGTAGGCAACACGTAATAAGGGTTCAAAATGGCGGAGTTTTCTATGTCCTTTTAAAAGGCACTCAGAAAGCTGCGCAGTGCGACCATTCTCCGTATAGTAAAAGAAAATCAAAGTATGTGATATTCACACATACACAATAAAAAAACTACACCTTTGAAAAATTCAATTTAATCAAATGAACAATCTGTGTTAATTACAATACAACATACCACAGAATCAGTTTTTTATTTTGCAGTACTGCTTTGTGTTTCAAGCAATCTCTTGCTTATTGAAAGTTGGTCAATCTCTTTTTCTTGCCACTTGCTTTATGGAATTTTATATAACAAATATTTTCAGAAAAATACAAAAACATAACAAAAACTTCTTTTAAATTTGTGACAGAACGAAATAATGACAACAAGTGACAGTGAGAGTGATATATGGCATTGATATTAAGGTTGTATGACCACAGAACGTTAAAAAGTACCAGATAACTACCCTATAGATTATTTCTCTTGAAAAGACGGAAACCTAATTATCTGTCAGATAGTAACACTCGGATCATATATCCGTTGGTTAGTTGACTGGAACTTTATCTGAAGGTGAAAAGACCGACCCTAAGAGAGCCTGTGCGTGATTTTAGCGATGTTGCCAATTGCTTTTTGTTATAAATAAATATATTCATGGCAATACCGTTCTATATTATTTTTTATGAATAATATGACAACTGAATATTTTTATTTCTATAAATGTGGAGTCACATACTTTGATTTTCTTTTACTATACGGAGAATGGTCGCACTGCGCAGCTTTCTGAGTGCCTTTTAAAAGGAGATAGAAAACTCCGCCATTTTGAACCCTTATTACGTGTTGCCTACATCTTGGCGCAATATTTTTAATAGGTGCGTTTTAATCATCCGCTTCTGCTTCGGAATTGTTGGTTTTCTTGTTTTAATCTGACAGGTTAAAACGACTAAACCGACAATTCCGAAGCAGAAGCGGATTGATTAAAACGAACCTGATATTTTGCTTGTTGCTGTCAGTGTCAGTGAATATTATTTTTGAAGTCACAGTTTATTGCTAAAGAATCAGTTAGCTCACTCGGACCAGTTGAAAGTTCCAAAATAACATCCACTCCAGGGATAAATAAATTAATATAGAACCCTTTTTAAAGAATATGGAAATGTTATGTCAAAAATTAGGTATTTTTTATATTTCTTTTTCGTTGATTTTAATTGGACACTTGGCAACACCGCGCATATTTATATTGACAGAGCATGACAGATATAAGTTCTAATGAATAAGTTCACATAAATGATCATATCCTCATATCCTTTAATTTGTAAATTTTTTAAGAAAATGTTAATTTATGGGGTTTCCGGTGGTATATTTTAAAACTACTCTCCTTCCTAAAGCCTAAAGTGTAAGTTTTGTAAAACAAGTTGTATTTTTAAGAAAAGAGCGTCTTGGCAATATTTATCTTATTTTTTAGTAAACTTTAAATATTTAGTTGTAATTTTGTATTTGGTTGTAATTTTGTATTGTGAATTTTTAGAACCGAACTACCCCTTTTAAGAGCTTCGGGCAAAATTTTAATTTTGGGATACTGGGTGTTTTCATATCAGTATATTTAATGACAATTCTAATAAATTACGTGTATGTGAGTTAATATATAATAATCACATATTTTGATTTAGGTTGTTCCTTGGACTGTCCAGTCCTTGTTAATCTGGATTAAGGATAATTACAATAATCCTGGAATTATCATTACAGAAAACGGTTATCCAAGTAAAGGTGATAAAGACGATAGAAGAGTACATTACATTAGAGTAAGTTTAATGCAGAATATTATTACATAAAAAAATTTAAATTGTTTACTTTGGCAAATGTGTAAAAGTAACAGCTGTTGCTGATCATACACATTTTCATAGATACGACTAAATAACATTATACAATAATGAATAAATATGAATTATCCATTACTATCCTTAAAATAATGTTTTTTTTTTATTTCAGGGTTATTTGAGTAACATTAGAGATGTCATGATTGATCATGGAGTTAAAGTTTTGGGATATACAGTTTGGAGTCTAATGGACAACTTTGAATGGGCTTCAGGTTATACGTAAGTTTTAATAGAAATAAATTGATTTTAAAACATTTTCTAAATTAGCAAAATTTACATCAGATTTGTTTGCCAAACTAATATGGGCCTGGAAGTCAGCCTCTGCTATTGTTATGGAAAATTTAAGGAAAATATTATCATCTTACTTATGTTTTTAGACGACAAAATTAATTTTTTTTTTAAATTCTCGCGTATTTGTTGACAATTTTAATGAATATGTCGTAATAGAATCTAAAGCAATAATGAATACTCCACCAAATTGTTTTGAAAGCGCAAGCCATCACAAATAATATTTTACCAGTAAAATCCAAAGAAAGATTGGGACTCCACACTGATCACTAAGTAAATAAAAAATACAAGGATATAGTACATCAGTCTGTCATATTTGTTTAATTAACTTAGGCAGTTGCGGCCAGTGTTGCCAGAGCACTCTGAAGAATGTAATAGATGAACTCTCAAAATTGTAATAAATTTCAAGAAAATGTAATAGAAATTTTAGTCAACGAAAAATGAACTATACATAAAAATAGATTCATTGTATTGATAATTATCAGGTAGGTTGTCTCTGATGTACAAACAACTTTTTTTTGTGTGCTGGTGTAATTATTGTTTTATATTTTTAATATACATTTAAACCTATTTATTGATAAGAACAACGATAGTCTTTCAATTATTGTCATAATATGCAACACGAGGATATTTTTGTTCCACATTCTTATAATTTTGGGTTTGTTGCAACAGCAGACTTATTTTAGTAGTACCTATGAAGTTGTAGTACGATTTAACTGTTCTACTTTTCATGCTACTCATGTGCAGATACATTCAGAACGGTTCTGTACTGGGGTTGAAACAAAGCTTTTGTAAAGAAAACAAAGAAAAAAGAAATTCGGCCTCCAATACAAAGTCCAATGATATGAGAATCTTTTTAAGCGCTTTGGGCATGCTCAAGAAAATATGTTTGGGATGAAACTAAACCAAATAAACATGTTTGGGATGGTATTAGTTGTATAATAATAATAATAATAATAATAATAATAATAATAATAATAATAATAATAATAATAATAATAATAATAATAATAATAATAATAATAATACTCTCCCAAATTCACCCCCTTACGAGTGAATTTCAACCCCTGAAGTTGACTGAACGACTTGTGTAGGGGAAGGGACGGCTATTATTATTATTTGCCGTGGCGCTCCGGGGCGACTTAAAGATGATTGATGGTGCCATTTGACTTACAGGTGAGGAAAACCCGGAAAACCTCACCCACCATCATCGAGACGGTAATGTATGGCGAATTTTTTTAATCTGCACGTCATATCAACAAAAATTGAATTTCTATTAATACGCCACACATCAAATCCTAAACCGAACCATGCAATTTAATTAAAAATCCACATGGTCTTGGCTGGGATTCGAAACCCAGCAGTCTCAGACTCATAAACTTGCCTATAAATGAATATAAGCGCGATAGACCGATACACCACCGTCCCGATGAAATAATAAACAATATATTAGGAACATATAAAATCAAGATACAGTTAGGTTCAAGTTCATCAATCGTTTAAAGCTCGTGAAAATGTAATAGATTTATTGGACATATGACATGTAATAATGTAATAAACCCTTCCTAAATGTAATAGATTTGTTACAATTGTAACAAACTGGCAACACTGGTTGCGGCTTGTGCCTTAGCACACAGGTTGTGCCAGGCCTGTGTATCACGAAGGTGCCACGACCAAATTTTGTAAAGTGTGCCTCATATCTTTCTGAGAAACTAATGATAACAGATGAAGACTTCAGGAAAGGTTTGCAATTCTTCTCTTTCATAAAGTACTTGTTCTGTTTTAAGACTATTTTTTCTAAAAATGGATATAATTTAACTGTATTAGAGAGCAATTTGATAGGAAAGTTTTTTTGGCATGCGATAAAATGTTTTTTCGTTAATAATGCGACAGCTATCAGATGTCTTGTAAAAGGAAATCGAGCCCTAATCTGTTGTATAATTAAATCACAAACTTCTAAGGCTTTTATTTTTTTTTATTTATTGAAACAGTTAAATGGGAACGAGGGTAACGTCTCCTTTTCTGAGGAACAGATTCATCTTCGTTTACTGAAAGCTCTGAATACAGAAGAGAGATCAATACAGAAAATAAACAGGGCCAGTTTCACGACAGAGATACTCTGAGAAAACGTAACTTTTCACAGTAATACTGGAAATAGTAGACATCAGAAACTTGAAAGGTTTTAAATAAACAATAAATTATCATTTTATGATGTTCTTCAACATCCCTTTAATCTAAAATATTTAGAAAGAACTAGATTTCTGCCTTTGACTATTGTATGTAGCCGGAATGAAATTTTGATAGGAAACCAGTTTTAATCGTTCATGCTATTTTTTCTTTCGAATAAAAATGAAAATATAAATAAAAATCCTTCTGATTATACATTTTAACTTCATACTTTATTTAATGTTTTTTTTTTTATTTTGACACAATAGGTTAAATCTTCGAAGACAATTTATTAGACTTAGGCAACTTCTCACACATTTTCCTGTATATACTGTTGCCTGCCTATATTTTATTATTGAGTTTTATTGATTATACTTAATTTTTTTTAGTTTAAGAGATAAAAATATATAATAATAAATTAATGTTTTACTTGTTTTACAAATCCATATACTTTTATTAGAACTAACATATATACTTTTTAATTACGAATTCTATTAAAAATTGTATTGTGAGTATACACAAAAAAAGTCCATTAGTACATAAATGAATTAGCGCTGCTGTCACGCACGGAGTGAATCATATACTTTGATTTTCTTTTACTATACGGAGAATGGTCGCACTGCGCAGCTTTCTGAGTGCCTTTTAAAAGGAGATAGAAAACTCCGCCATTTTAAACCCTTATTACGTGTTGCCTACATCTTGGCGCAATATTTTTAATAGGTGCGTTTTAATCATCCGCTTCTGCTTCGGAATTGTCGGTTTTCTTGTTTTAATCTGACAGGTTAAAACTACTGAACCGACAATTCCGGAAGCAGTAGCGGATGCTTAAAACGCACCTGATATTTTGCTTGCTGCTGTCAGTGTCAGTGAATATTATTTTAAGAGTCGCAGTTTATTGCTAAAGAATCAGTTAGCTCACTCGGACCAGTTGAAAGTTCCAAAATAACATCCACTCCAGGGATACAAATTCAGGATACGCAGAAGACTGCTGTTTTATTATAGGCGGTTGTTATATATTGTATTATCTGAGTTGCGCAGTGTATAAACTGGAACATTGAGATAAAAAGTGCCGACGCAGAGTGAGCGATCTGATTCTTTAGCTATAAACTGTGTCATAGGGTTCAAAATGGCCGCGCCCTATGTTGGGCGTGTCGGACCTCTCTCTTGCCCCGTATAGTAATCAAAGTATGTGGAGTGAATACATAATTGAGAACTAAAATCTATCAATTCTTGGAACACTTCTTTTTTTTTGAATTCTTCGTTTTCATCATGACTTTGAAATGCCAATACTAATGCACCACAAAATCTTGAGTTAATAAGTTAATAAGTATATCGTTATTAATAATGATATTTTAAAATAAACTGCTCTTGGAATTAGTCGATACGCCTAATTTCATCGTTATTTGTATATCTCGAAAACGTCTTAGCCGATTTTTAAAAATGAAGCATACTAAAATTTTATTATTTCTTGTATTAATGGCTTGATGTTATCTTCAGTAAAAGCCCCTTTTTAGTATTATGCAGGGTGTGAAAGATCACAATGTAAAAATGTAAACAGTAAACATTTAACTCTTGTAATAGTAGTTCCAGTACTATCATCGTAATCACATTTAGAAGTTTTGATCGATATCTCGAAACATATTTGGCAATTTAGTATTATTGTTTAGAAAAAAAGTTACAGGGTAATTTCCAAAAGTTCGATTTTTTTTAAATAAAATAAATACGAGCGACCGTTTGCCTTCTACTGCTTTGGTTAATACCTCAACATGCAAAGGAAAACAGCCGATATATAAATTTAATTTCAACAATCTACCTTTGATTTTGCTTACTAAGGAAAACGCTTTAGAATCGATAGTTCGACGTTTGTTGCAGACGACAATGTTCTGTCATCAGTCCCGTGAGAATGCGTAGATCATTCCTATTCCTACTCAATTTCCGGATCTGAGCAGAAGCATTCGAGAAAGGTTTGTGCTCTTTACAATGCCGAAGAATGATTCTGGTCCTATAACCTCAGATTCGGTTCATCTTTGAGCGAACGCGTCAGGTTTTCACAGCAAATGGTCCTTTTAGCTTTTATTCCGAGTAGGTATTTTAATCATACACAGCTAAGTAAAAGCATTACCTCCTTTTTAGTCATACCACCCCAAGTTTTGAGTTAAAGGAATATTGACTCGAGTCTGCAAATAATTGCTTCTATTTACCTCATCCTTCGACATTTCTAATGAAATACACTATAAATATATTAAAATTGTAGTATCTGTCACATTTAAAAATGTTCATATTATTAATTTAAAAAGTTATTATTCAAATATAATTCGAGCAATTAGCGATTAGTGATTTTTAAAATAATCTATTCAAATATAATTCCAGCAATTATCTATAAAGTTTATCTAGCTTTATTCAAGCATTTTGTTTTTAAGAAAGATCATTCAAAAAAAAAAAACATCCAAGATAAAAGTCCTCGTGCCTTCGGCTCTCTAGCTCATATCAAACAAATGTTATTATTGTTGTTATCATGATCCTTCTAAAAAAAAGCATCCTTATGATAGAGAAAGGCCAAGGTACCATTTGGGAACTTTAGACCGAGACAGCCGTCCGAGGCAAGCGATCGCGACAGGTGTAGAAAATGAAACGCTTTAGGTCCGAATCATTTGTATGAAGTGTAGTGCTTCGTACTACATATTACTCTTCTCTCTGTCATAATTACGTTGATAGATAAATGTTATAACCTTAAACCAGTCATCTCCACTTTGTCATTTCGACGT